TTCAGAGGTGGCTTTTTGGTATGGGTCACTTTCATCTTTCCCAAGCTTTTATTCCTAATCTTAAGCCAATTTTCATAGCTACAGGTCATTTGCTACCTTGATGCAGCCTCTTCTAGGCCACCATGTTAATAATTAGGCAACTTTGTATAACCTGAGCCTGACGTTCAAGCTGCCTTTGTAGCTAGCTGAGATTTCTGGGTGCACAGGAGAGGTTTGGCAGGTAGCAGGGGCTGTGCCAGTGCTTTGCCCATCATCACCTTCCCCTGTCCTGTGCCAGGTAGGAAGAGTGGTACAACACCCTGTTTAGTGTACACATGAAGACCTGAAAACATCCTCATTTTATTCACCTCTTAGTTAGACAGCATTGCATCCCACTCTGCTCTTTCAGTTAACTTGCCCTCTTTTTATTTCCTTTTTCTTCTTTTTTTCTTTGAATTCAGACCTTCCATTGTCCTTTCCAAGGCTTTGAAGAATGCAGGAAGATAATGGTCTTTTCCTGTGCTTCCATATCTCATCCTCTTGTTTTATTACTCCAATTATCTTTGTCCTGCTCCTTTTCTCTCTGCTTTCTGCTGTTCTTGGACAGTCTTTGATACATTGCTGGTCCAAGAAGCAACCACTCCAGTTTCTGAAATGCTTAATTAAAAGCATACTTCTTTTACAGACTTCTGCAAGTTATCTTTCACTGAGTAAAACTTACTGAGAAGAAGCACAGTTGGAAATTTGGTGTAAACTACTGGTTTCTTAAAAGGTAGTTGGTTTATTTTGAGAAGTAAAACTTGACAGGCTGGTTAGCAAAAGTCCAATAGTTTTGAGACCTCTTCTAGAATTATTTGTTGAGTTGATATTCCCAACCTGTCAGGTCAAGCCTGTGCTGCTGGCAGAATAGTTTGGACTGTCAGTTCCTACAGCAGATGAAGTTCTGAGCTGAGATGTCTTGGTGCAGCTGCTGAGGCAGGAGGTAATTGTGAGGACGAGGTGGCAAGGGAACTTTTCCTGTGCTTCAGAAGGGCTGACCTGGCTCTGGTTCTTGGATGAAATGTCTTCATCTGGAAGCAGCTGTGAATGAGGTGAGAATTATTCTTTCTCTTAACTATGTCCAGAGGCAAGTGCTGTTTGTTGATTGTATCCAAGGAGGTAAGAGGCTTGCAGGCTGTACAGGGCTCCATCAGATAATATTTCGTTTCCTGTGATTGACATTTATGCCTGTACCTTCCAGCTTGTCCTGTCTCTCCTGGGCAGAAAGAATTCTGATATCTAAACCATTTACAAAACGTTTTCCTAAAACCTCTGCCTGTGGCACTTTTTCCTTTGCTCCTGGTTCAGGGGTGCCAGCACTGCTGGTTCAGAGGTGTGAATGGTGCAGTATTAAGTGATCATTAGCAAATAAACTCCGGGAGTGCCCCACTGATTCCCAAAACTTAACTTTACCTGCAGTCAACTGTGGTTGCTTTCAAAGTGTTTGATGCTTGGCAAGTTTTTCCTTGTCATTTTTGCAAAAGACAGGGCTGGATATTGCCTGTTTATTCCCATTGTGACTTGCTGCAGAAGTAAAAGCACCAGTGATGTCATTTGATGACAATTATTTGATGGTTAATTGCCATGTTGAACAAGGGTTATGTTGGAGTTTAGCATCTTTTTTTATTCCTGTATTTAAGTGCCTTACAAAATATCTGTAGAAAGCTTTGACATACTGATCTGAAAGTATTTTCCAAATAATAGAAAAATCTTTAAAATCTAGACTCTTTGTCCCCTTTGGGCTGTTTTAAAAGCATAAGGAATGATGCTCTGGCATGCAGCAATTCTATTAGCACGTTGTCATAACTTTTATTACCACCTGCCTATCCAAGCCATCTGGGAGGAGAGGATATAAGATATAAAATATGAAAGTGACAGTTACTCAGAGGATATTAAACAGTCCTGTGTAGCTCCAGCTCACAGATTTGTCTTCCCTTTAGACTGCAGCAGCTTTCTGAAACTTCTTTGCACACATAAGATGGAGGCAATATTTAGATACATCTTGAAATCCTGTTGAAATACAGAAAGTAGCTGTTAAAATATCAATTTTTGCATCGCATGATTATTCATTTCTTTCCCCAGTTACTTGATGGATGGTTGCAACCTTCTGGGGTTTGCTCCTCAGAGACCAGGGAAAGGTACAAGAATTTAGGGTTAACTTCTGCCTTCCATCCAGGAAACCCTTCAGCTTCTCAGGATGTTCCAGCAGGCTTGATGAGTGTGCCATTGTAACAGAAAAAGTTGTTGTCTCCTGTTTCTCTACTCATTAATCTCATTTTCATGCCATAAAGGGAGGTGTTAGCACTGAATGTACCAATTTGCCTTCAAGAAGGACCCACTGGAGTCTTTTAGCTGTATAATTACCTTTAGTATTAAGCTACTTACTTAAGATACTTAATTGCTTCACTTTACCTGGAAGTAGAAATCTTACAGAAAACTGTTTATTGCTGATAAATACCTTCTGTAGCAATCGGTTCCTTATCTGAACTGCTCTGGGTCTGTTCCTTGTCATTATTCCAGAGGAAGAACAAGGAGAAGAGCAGAGTTGGAAGAGACTGGAGTATTTATGTGTTGCAAGTAGGCTGGGTTAAAAGGTGGTAGTTAAAAACTAAAATCACTGAAACTAACTACAGTTTTAACACCACCACCAAAATGTGATTTCATCTCCCACTCCTGTGTTTTATTTATTCGTTGTGCTTTCTCCTGGTCAAACCTTTTCACCAGGCTTAGCATCTGGGTGCTCAGAGTGCAGGAGGTGAGTGTAAGAAGCTTCTATAAACCCCGAGGGGAAGGGGAAGGTTTGAGTCTCCTGCCCACAGACTAAACCCAGCAAAAAGGCACCATGCCCCCAGCCCAGGGGGGGAGGAGGAGGAGGAGGAGGAGGCCTCTGGCCCTGCTTGTGTTGGAATTTCAGGCTTTATCCTTCCCCAAAGAGGTGAGACTGGAGACACTAAAGTGATAATAGAGGCAAGACACCAAGAATGTTGCCCATGGCAGGGCAGTTACCAAAGTACTCTGAAGTACTTTGAAGTACTCTTGAGTGACCAGAGTGGTATAATTTAATTTCTTTGGAAGAATTGTGATAATTTTCAGTTTAATGTAATAAAGCCTGTAGCAGATCCCTAAAGTCCATATTGATCTCCATTTCTTTTTAAATATGGACTTTAAAATCAACATTTTAAAAACTCTGTTCTTCTCCTCATTCCACATGGACAGCACAGACTGCAAGTGCCAGAAGTTTGTAAAGCAGTTGGATCTGAAATCCACTCAGGTTTAGTTGTTTGCCCCTAGGCTTTGCTCTGGGAAGTAAATTCCCATGAGTTAAGCCTGTATCTCTGCAGGGTTAAATTCTGATTTCATGGCTCCTGATAGTCACTGTCTCTTTCCATGTTTACACGGGCTCACTTGTGCTTTTTTAGTGGAAATTAAACCTTAAAAAAAACCCCAAACACTCCTCTTTTATGGTTAGATAATGCCTGTGAACCAGCATTTCCAGGTACTTTCTTTCTCTAAGTGGGATGGAGGCTGTTGGAGCCTGGTTTAGGAGAGCTCTGGTCTGCAGCTGGAGCCTGCACTCAGATCCAGACCTGCCTTCCAACCATGCTTAAAGACTCCAGATTATGCCAATGGCAGTTTGGGGGGATTACATGTGGGGTTGTTGATGTGTTTGTTGTGAACACTCTCCTGCTGTTCTCATGTGTGAGACTGCTAGGTATATATTCTCTGTGCTCTCCACCATTTCCTTTCAACAGCTAATGACTCAGTCTTCCTCAAGAGCCTGAGCTTGTGCTTCTCCCCTCACAAACCTCCATACCAGCCTCTATTTAAAACAATTCATATTGCAAGATAACAACTTCATGCCTTTTACTCACTCTTTATTTTTCTAAAATCCTTTCAAGCTGAAAACGAGCAGCAGTGGAGTTCTTGTGGTTCACTGGCTGTCCTGTGCAGTGAGAGGAAGGCAGATAAATACCACCTGCAAAACAAAGTGTATAGCAGAGGTTAAACTGGGAGGCCTGTGATGCTTTCATGTCTGCCAAAGTTATGAATCCTGCTTTCCCAGCTCATCTTTGAAGATGGATCTGCCTTAGGGATGGGGACTCAGGAGGCAGAGATGGGTTGATGATTCTATTTTGTTTTAAAAACTCCCTTCTGGAAAGCAGGTGCCTGGTTTTCAGTTGTGCCTGTGTAGGAATGTTGAGGTTTGTTGCAGGGGGGTTTGAGCCCCTGTGTTCTCTGCAGGTGACAGTTTGACTTGGCACTCAGAAGTTGGGAACTTCACTAACATAAAAAGACAATCAAAATTTCCCTCTGGCCTAAAGGATTTGAAATAGATAAATCATTCCCAGTACCTTCCCTGATAGGAAGACCTCAGGAGAAGGTTTAAGCTATGGGAAATTCTCCTGCTGATGTTACCAGTCACTCTGAACCAGGGGTTTGTGTTGCTGTTGAGTTTGGGTTGCATGTTCCTTCCTGTAGCTTTTTCAGGTTAAGAACTTCATCTGTCAGAGCTGATTTCTGGTAGTCTAAGACTCTTGTAATGAAAATAAGGAGTAAGTAGTGAGTGAAAATGGTGGCCTTAGGGTAAGGTAGTAAATCCCAAGTCAGGTGGGGAGTCTTATTTGAGTCATGAACCTCTTAAAGGAAGTGATATGCTAGGCTTCTTCCTCTGAGGAGCTGCATATTGAAAGAGTGAGTGGAGGTGGTATATCCGCTCTTCAGAAACATATGGGAACACTTGGAAATGTTGAAGTGTAACATCATATTTTGGGGGGGAGGGAGAGAGCATGATGACTTTCACTGGTGTCCCATGAGATTCAACAGCACTCCTGAAGGTTTCTTTCCCTTCGTTCTTAGTTTTGTGTTGTTTTTTTTTCCTCTTTTTGATTTTTTTCCCCTCTTTTTGTGGACTGACAGGGTGAAGATCCGTTATAAATTTCTTCTGCTGAGCTGTGGAATCCTGTTTAATCTCCAAACTGGCGATGTCAAGGGTGCCAAGTCCTCCTCCTCCGGCAGAAATGTCGAGTGGGCCTGTAGCAGAGAGCTGGTGCTACACCCAGGTGAGTCCACACACCCCTGAGATGCTCTTCATGCAGCACAGTCAGGACCTGTGGTAAGAAATTGATTCAAAACAAGTTCAGAGGCTGGGTTTGCAGGCAGCATCGGGTGAGCATTCAGCAAGGCAACAGCAGAATGTGGCCCTCAGCCCTTGGTGGAACTGTGGAGGGGGCAGTTAGAGAAGTTGGAGTGGTCCAGCTGCCACTGCCAGCCATTTCCAGACTCTTTGTCATGTGCTTGGGGTTTTTTTTTGTCACTTTTTGCCTTTTAAGATGACCAGGGTGAATGAGCATAACCTTAAACTGCCTATTATCCTCTGTTTTAAGATCAAAGTGGTGAAGTTTTCCTACATGTGGACCATAAACAACTTTAGCTTCTGCCGAGAAGAAATGGGTGAGGTCATCAAAAGCTCAACCTTTTCATCTGGAGCCAATGATAAACTCAAATGGTAAGAAATAACACAGAGAGGTTCACCCTGTTCATACAAGTGTCTGAAAGAAATTTGGCTTCATATTAAAAAAAAAAAATCCTTGTACTGCACACGGGTTCTTGCTGCCTTGGATGGCCATCCAGTGCAGAGGGAGAAGGTGCTGCTGCTTCAGCATGGTGTTTGGACACACAGAACAAATGTGAGGAGCTGGCAGATTGCAGCATTTCTCTGAGAATGGAAAAACTCAGACGTCATAGAAATCAGAGCTGGGAGGGAGACTACATCCTGCCTCGAAGCAGAGGTGTGCTGTGGAGGACTGTTAAAAGTCTTAAGTTGGGGTGTTTCTGGCTGATATTTATCTTAACAGTTCTTACAAGCTGATGAGAATCCACAGCCAGTGTCTTCAAGCTCTATTTCAGCCTCCCAGTTTCAGTCACTCCATATCCTGCAATTTCAGAGCATTGCTACTGTATTACCTTTCTTTTTCTGGCAGCTTTTTGTGAATTCAGAGACTTAACACTATTACTTCAGTCATCTCTGTCTTCTGTAACTCCTCCTGCCCAGGAGTTTCTGCTTCTTAAAGATAATTTTTTTCCCTTTTCCTTTCCTCGAAAACCTTTCTTATCTCCCCTGAGTTCTCAAGTGATTTCCAGTAACTCAGAGTGAACTTTGGACAGAATGTCTGTCTTGCCTTACTAGTAGATCCATGGACACCTGGTTTCTTATTTTATCCCTTGTTTCTGATGTAAAGTATTTTAGTATTTTTCTTGAAACCTCCTTAGTATAGATTGTGGCAAATCGGCCACTAAATTTAGTGTGTGGGAGATATGTGTCTTGCCTGACTAGTAGATCCATGGACACCTAGTTTCTTATTTTATCCCTTGTTCCTGATGTAAAGTATTTTAATATTTTTCTTGAAACCTCCTTAGTAAAGATTGTGGCAAACCAGCCACTAAATTTAGTGTGTGGGAGATACAATTTGTGTTCCCTTCCTTTGGGTGGCAGACCTGTGCTTCCTTGGACTGCTTTTGGTTATTAAATTACTTACCTTCAGAACCTTTGCTAGTCAGATCTCATTTTAATGTCTAGATCTGTCTGATTTTTTTTGTCCTTGTGTGTTTGAGCTGTTAGTCATTTGGCCTAGTTTTAGCTTCTTGTTAGACTCTGTGTCGAGTTTCAGGTCATGGAAGTGCTAATGAGTTACCCTCTTCCTGCACTATCTTTTTTTTCTTCACACAGGAGTAGTTTTCTCTATTTTGCCCTAGTATTATGTTTTTTAGAAACTATCAGCCTCCCATAAATCCATTTTTTCCTTTTGATTGCTTCCTGTGGAATTTTATCTACTATTTCTCTGGATTTGTTGCACTGGCTCAAATTTGTTGCCTCCGTTCTGCTATTTCTTTCACTTGCCTTTTGTAAAAGTTGACATCCAGGGTGCTCTTCACCTTTTCAGTTAAACTGTGCCCCCCTCCTCTTTTCCTCTGTGTTTTTTGTTGTTTGGTGGGGTGTTCTTGACAGGTTTGCCCCTAGTTACTGCCTGTATATTCTCCTCTTGTCACAGAGCGAGGCTGACTGTAACGCAGGGTTCCACTTTATTTACCTACCTATTATTTCCTTATGGTTCAGTGGCTGTGAAACAGGATTTGTTTGCTGTGTGCTTTATTGTGAAAATTCTACAATGCCCTTTCTTTGAAAGCTATGAATGACCTGCCAAAAACTGTTCCTGCCATCTCATTCAGATCCCTGCTCCTACAGGTGTTTGCGTGTGAACCCGAAAGGCTTGGATGAAGAAAGTAAAGATTATCTATCCCTCTATCTGCTGCTGGTGAGCTGTCCAAAAAGTGAAGTTCGAGCCAAGTTCAAATTCTCCATCCTGAATGCTAAAGGAGAAGAGACAAAAGCAATGGGTGAGTTAAAAACTCTTCCTCCCTGCTGGGGTCAGTTGTGCTGTTTGCTCGAGCTGGTGTTTGAAGCTCTGCATCTTTCAGAGAGCCAGCGAGCGTATCGATTTGTACAAGGCAAGGACTGGGGATTCAAAAAATTCATTAGAAGAGACTTTCTTTTGGATGAGGCCAATGGACTTCTTCCAGATGACAAACTCACTCTCTTCTGTGAGGTAAGTCCTGTGCTGCAGCCGTTCCATTAAAGGTAGATGTGACCTTATTTTTCATCGTTGCTTTTAAGGAGTCAGAGGTGTCAGGAGAAATGCTGGATGTTTGTGTGGCACTTAGATTTTATTTGAGCTGCTGGCTGGTGGCTTTTTCACTGCGTGATTCATCCCATTTCACTTCCATTTATTTTGTGTTACTCTTATATTTGTCTTTTACCTGTGATGATGATAGGAATTAAGCGTGTTTGATGATCATTTCACTTCTGCTTTAGTGTTATCATCCATCTGTTTGTGCTCCTTAATTTGGAACTCACTTGGGATAATAACCAACTGTAGCTCTGTAGTAGACCTATTACTTGCCTGCTGCATAAAGAAGAGTTCTCAGGATTTTCCTAAGTGTGCCTATACAATGAAAAGAAAAAACAATGAAAAAATGGAAAAAAAGAAATTTTATAGTAACCACAATTTTCTGTTTGTTGTGTCTTTTTCTACAACTGCCTACAAAATTATTATTTCACTATTACTGATTTCAGACAAAGATGCAGACAGTTCTTTCTAAAACCAGAGATTTCAGTTTAGAAACCTTAATAAACAAATCTAAATTCTGTAATTCAGTGTCTTCAGAGCTTCTGCTGTCTTATTTCCATTGTGTTTTTAGCTTCAGAATCCCTCCTGTAGCTGTGACTTCTGCCAGAAGTCAGGTAGAACAACTTGTTCTCTTTGGATCTCCTGCAGTGTTTTTTATGGGAATCTTTTCTTTTGCTGTGTTTTCTTTCAGGAGTGAAAGAAATGCATCAGTTGGAGTTGTTGACAGCTGAGGTTTTGGGGGTGGTTTTTGCAGTTTTGTTTGGCCACCCTAAGCACACACATGTTTAAATTAACAAACATCTCCTAACAGATGTGTATCCAATAAATTATTGCTGTCCTGGAGGGGGCCCTTCCTTGAACACCCGTAGCAGTGTGGGAGGAAAAGGGGACAGTGTCTTGGATGACACCTCTGTAGGTCTGGCAATTACTCTTTCTCTCCTGGTAAAAGAGCCAAAAAAACTTAAAATTGTGAAGTGAAACTCAAAAATTAATGTCTGAGAAGGGGATTTGTGAGGTGTGATGTAGATAAACCTGAAGTCCACCACCAGTCTTGGCAACTGACACTAACTTAAGGCACTCCACTCCACTGAATTGCTCCCCTCCAAAGCTTCATCAGGGATTTTGTTTGTTCTGGATGAAGAGAAAACTTGCTGCTGGCTTCACCTAGCTGTGGCATCTTCTGTTTTCTCTTTCATTTTGTTCTGCACTCCAGCATGTCAGGAGTGCTAAGTTTAGTGATAGCAGAAGGGAAGGTTTTGCTTTCTGGAAACAGTTTGGTGAGAACTCTCAACAGCTTGGGTTTGCTGGGGCTTTTTTTTTCCCCCCTCCTTTTTCCTGTCTTTCTTTTTCTTCCCTGAGCTTGTCCATCTCTCAGCACATGAACTGCCCTACTCTCCTAATGCTTCCCTGCTGGCCATGGGTGCCAAGTGATGCTGTTCACATCTGTACTTCCAGCAAGCATGTCCTGTAGGTAGAAACTCTTCAGGACTTGACAATACTAGATGTTGAGCTGCTTGTTATGTGGGGATATATTGGAGTTTCCTGTAGACCAAAAGGTTGCTGAGTATCTCTGCTGCACCTTCTTGTGTTAGTAAAGTTAAAAGGAAAAAGCCTTTGGCTTTCAGCTCATGTCCAGTGCAGGGAGACACATAATGTCTTGCTGAAAATGCTGTTAAGGCAGAGAACGATGTTCCTTGTCAAGCATTTCAAACCTGACCTCATTTAGTTGTCAGTTTGGGGATTTTTCAACCTCTGTTTTGCAGGTGGGATTCGTTGTTCACATCCCAGCTGCGTTACATTTTTGCTGTTTGAATTATATTCCAACATCTTAGGTAAATGCCATTCTGGTAAAGCTCCAAGAAGAACAGTGTTTCCAAAGTTCTATGAATAGCTCTCTCCTGTGCTGGGTAGCATTGGTTCCCTTGCTAGGATGTTGGAAATAGTTTAAGCAAAACCTCTTCTCTATTTTGACCTCCAAGGCTGGTCAACACTTGGAGCCTACCAGTCAAAGCTCCTCTGAATCTCCATGTGATAGATTCTCATGCAAATAACTGACTTCCTGTCATACACAGAGACAATTTATTGATTGATTTAAGATCCAGTTCACAAGTCTCTTTTGGCTGATCTGTAATCAGTGTTTGGACTCCAGCAAGGGATCTACATCTTAGAATTCCTTTGGAATGAATCTGAGTTTTCATCCATCCTCGAGTCCATGTTGCTGGTCTGCATATCACAGGGCAAAAAGGTGATGTGGCTGTCAAATGATGAAGAATATTTGCTTCCTCACGTTTGCTCTGGCTGATCATTAGTGTGCTCAGGCAAGCAACATCTGTTATTTGTTTGATTTTGAGTGTTTTATAGTTTATACAAGATGTGGCTGCCATCAGAAACCCACTGGAGGTTTCTCAAGAGTCAGGGTATGTGCTGTCAGCAGAGTTTTTATTCCTTAGGAGATGCTTTTGTCATCTCTCTCCCTTCATAATTTCCTTCTCCTTTTACATAACTGTGAAATTTCCTTTGCTGCCCATTGTTCTTTGGCCACTGGTTATTAATAGAACTAGAATTTAACTCAAACTTGACAGCAAATCCAGGAAATGGTCTCATGGCTGCTTGCCTGTCAATCACCTTCTTCATTCTTTGTTATAGTGGGGTGGCATTAGTCACTCTGATCTTTTCTAATTGGAGCCTGCTGTAGAAGGCATCTGATTTACTGTGCATTTCACAGCCCTGGTTTGGTGCTGAACAGGTGCAGAATGGTTCCCTTTGTGGAGGTTTTTCATCAGCCAGTGTGGCTACCTATGGCTCCTGCCTACCCAGGTGATAAGACATCTACCTGCCCTCCCCAAATCTTCCTTATCACTTGACATAAAGCTGCTTTTCTTAGACTTACTGCTCAAGGTTTTTTTTTCTTTTTCACATTTTATTTTATAATGTGCTGGAAGTGTTGAACTCTCAAAGAAATGTCACACCAGAAGCAGCAAGACATCTGGGGGTCAGACTCTGCTCTTGCCTGCACGTGTGGATGCAGTGCTTGGTTATAGAAGCTCTTTGTGCACTTCATTTTCATTTGTCCTCTTCTCTGTATTGCATTATTGATTGGGGAGGGTTTCAGAGTGTTGATAGAAGGAAAAAAACCAGGTCAGGTATGATGTCTGTAAAAGCAGAAAAATAAGGGTCAACTTCCTTAGGAAAACATCTGATAAAGTTAGGATTAAATGGCATACAAGTGCTGTTAATTTGGGGTTGAGAAGCAGATCTGCTGGTGTGATTTAGGACTTGGGATGGCCACTGGAGAGCAGGGAAGAGACTTTGGGCATTGCAGCAAGGATGCTTTAAGAACGGAGAAGATCACACAGTGATTCTCCTCGAGAGCTGGGGGGGTTGCTTTGCATTTCCCCTCACCTACCCTGGAAATAAAAACTCCCTGTAGCAACATCACTGGTTTTAAGTGTTTTTTTTAAAAAAAATTTGGGGTTGTTTGCTTTCTTTTTCCCCTGCAGGTGAGTGTGGTGCAGGACTCAGTCAATATCTCCGGGCAGAACACCATGAACATGGTGAAGGTGCCAGAGTGCCGCTTGGCAGATGAGCTGGGAGGACTCTGGGAGAACTCGCGCTTCACGGACTGCTGTCTGTGCGTGGCAGGCCAGGAGTTCAAGGCTCACAAAGCCATTCTGGCAGGTCGGTATTGAGTTGGATGGGCCTTAGGAGACACCCACACCATGGCAAGTGCCCTTCTTGGAGTTCCTTTGGCTTTTAAAGGAGGCGTCTGCAGCTGTTTTAACTGTGGAGCTGTAGTAGAGGAGTGGGTTTGTGAACTGCTACAAGGAGGGGAGATACCTGCTCTGGTTTTAATTGCCTCTCTCCTGCCATGGTGAGGATGGTGGGAGGAATATGGGATCTTTCGTGGCTATAAAGTGTTCCTAAAGCATTTGTAAGGAGAAGTTAGCACTTTTCCAGAGGAATACTTTCTTGTAAAGCCAAGGAACATACCTCACCACCCCTGTCCTCCTCAGCCTCGACTGAAAGGGCGTTATGAATTCTCCCATACCCAGTCTGAAGCTCCGTGGGCCACACTGTGCCTGTACCTTACTAGTGCTACCCAGTTCACCCGCTCTGCTGCAGGAGAGCTTCTCCTGCGTTAAGCAGCAGGACAACATTGAGGTGTTTTGAACGGGCATTATGAATTCTCCCATGCCCAGTCTGAAGCTACGTGGGCCTGTACCTTACTAGTGACACCCAGTTCACCTCTCTGCAGCAGGAGAGCTTCTCCTGTATTAAGCAGCAGGACAACATTGAGGTGTTGTTGGGCTGCACTTGGCTCCTGCTGAGGAGTTCCAGAGCTTCCTAACTGTGTTTTGTTTTCCCCACTGCCGTAGCGCGTTCCCCGGTTTTCAGCGCCATGTTCGAGCACGAGATGGAAGAGAGCAAGAAGGTAAGTTCTGCAGGAGGACAAACTCCTCCAGCTAGGCCAGTAGCTCTCCAGTCATCTCTTAGCCTCTCTGGTCAGCTGATTTTCATAGGTAGTGTTTGTGACTGTTGTCACCTTTTAACTGTTTTTCTCACATTAGATGCAGGTCTCTGCTTCAGCTGTCCTGAGGGGAGGAAGAAAGGGATCAAGGAGGCAATTGTTACCTTTGTTACTCTTGGGGAAAGAGGAGAAGTAGAGAATGTGGAACACAACTTTAGAATTTTTCTTACTCCATCCACATCTTTTTCTTTCCTTTTATTTTTTTTTCTTTTTTTTTTTTTTTTGCAAGTAGTACACATTCTAAATAGTTTATAGCTAATTTCTGAACACTGAGAGAGCTTGGGTAGACTGAAGCCTTTTAGCCTCCTGTCAGGATCTTAATAAGCTTCATTTTTCCGATACAGAATCGGGTTGAAATCAATGATGTGGAGCCTGAAGTATTTAAGGAAATGATGTGCTTTATTTACACGGGGAAGGCACCCAATCTTGACAAAATGGCTGATGACTTGCTGGCAGCTGCTGACAAGGTACAGTTGGGATTTAGGGGGTGTTCAGAGAACCAGGAATGACATGTGCCTTGCTTTGCTCCTCGGAGACCACTGCAGTAAGAGTTCCATGTGATCATTGTGCTTGGGCAGTTTCTTTGGATTGGTTGTGGCTTAAGAGGTAAACCTGGGTGTAGTATAAGGTAGGATAAACATATAAGATACCTATAGCTGTGTAGATCCATATCTCAACCTATACCAATCAGCAGTTTCTGTCTCTACTGCTCTTTTTTAAGCATTTTCTGGAGATTTCAGAGGACGTCTCTATTCAGCATGATGTAGAGTAAGAGCTGGAAGAAAATTTCCAGGTGGACCTGGCGTTACTTTTTTTAGTGTGATTATTACCCAGTCTCAAAAGTAGTGTTCTGTTTCAGCAAGCAGGGCCTGCTTCTCCTTCTGCTCTGGCTGGTCTCAGCAGCTTCAAGAGATGCTCTGGAGTGATGGATAGCCAAGGGTGGTTTATTTTCTTTTCACAGTGGCAGTCCCCGCTGTTTATGGAGAGAAGGGGTGCACTGGAGGAAGCCCTGTTGCCTAACCAGTCTGTGGTTTTGCAGGGTCCTTGCCAGGGGGGTGTCTGGAATGGTCTGACTGGAAGGCTGCTGGTAGTCCCCGTGTAGCAGGCGCAGTGCTGTGGCCTTGCCAGCCAGGCAGCCACTGCCTCCTTCCCTTTGCAGCACCAAGGACAGAAGAGAGTGCTCTGCACCACTGAAAATTCGTAATATATAACCAAAATTGTATTTCCTTTTTCTTTTTTTTCCTTTTTTTTTTTTTTTCTCTTAAAAGTGAACTTAGTGCTGGTGAAAGATGCCAGTTTGACAGCACTGGAGACTAAAGTCCTGAATTTATCCATCGAACAGGTTCAGCACGGGTAGCAGCAGTGCAAGATTCTCCACACTGCCCTGCCAATGTGCCTCAACTCTGACCTGGAGGGAGCACCTCTAGGGGTGAGACCGTAGTTCAGTCTCCATGCTTCTTCAGTCCTTGGATTCTCTTGTGGGTGCCAGTTAGGGTGGTGGATTTTAAGATGTGGATGCATGTTAACCTTGTTCCACGCAACCACCACCATCAAATTCCCTGTCACTGCTGACCTGGGCTTCATCAAAACTGCTGATTTTAGAGGTGAAATGCTCCATATGCCATTGTTAGGCCACTGCGACTAGAATTCAAGTGGGGAAATAGTGCAAGGAGCTTCTTGGCCTGATTATAATCATTGCCACATATTTTATTCAATATTTAAAGAGTATTGATTGAATGCTCACATACCATCTTTAACTGAGACAAGTGTAAGTAAGAAGCAGTACATTAAGGACAGAGTAGACTTTAACTTTGAGTTTCCTGGCTTTTAATGTAGGTTTTTCTCCTTTTAAGCTCATTGTGTTTGAAACAAATAAAAAAAAAACCTTCCGTGAAAGCACATAAAACATTTAATATTTACTCAGGAGACTGAAACAGCTTCTTCTGAGTTCCTCCTGTCTCTTGGGGAAAATATGTAATTAGACCAAACCCAAAACAAAGCACGTCTTCTCAACCCAGGAGATACTATTTCAGCCTCTTGGGTAAGGATGCTATTAGGTAAGGGTGTTGGGGTTTTTTTTTTTTTTTTAAAGTGTAATTAAGAAAGGGGGGAAGGGGAAATTTTGGTACCTGAGAGACCAGAATGGCTACTTTTGCCCAACTATGTAATTAGAAGCTGAGCTATTTGTAGTGAAAATCGAAGTCAAAACTGTACACGCATGGAGGGGAATATTCAATTTACAAAAGGACTCATTTTAAGCTTCATTTGCTGCATTTTAAGCTCCTGACAGACAATAATACAAACTAATGGCTCGCCCCTTGTTTGAAACTGGTTTAGTTATTGATACAGATTAAACAAGTAAATTTGATTTGCCTTCTCAGATGTTCTGGTGGGAGAAAACTGTCTTGGTTATGAGCTGCCTCAGTTGAAGTAATTACTACCGAGTCTTAAGTGAAAAAATGGGTTTATAATCTAAAATCATTCACTTAAATTTAATCACAATGAGATGAAAATCTCAATCAGAATAGAAAGTCAATTTATAGTAATAGTGCTTATAAGGGAAGCACTCCTGTCATCATGCAAATGAGCTTGTTACCAGCTCTCTGTTGAGGTTGACAGAGCTGGCCTCACATGCTGAAGAACTTGTACTCCAGGTCATCCAAAAAAGCCTTATAAACAATATGAAGGATACTCTCAAGTGCAGTTATCTGTCAGATTAAAAAAAAAAATCAACAATCTGAAAAGATTTTCTTTTTTTTTTATTTTAAAGAAATGTTAATTTGAAGTCATAACATTGAGGAGACTTCACTGTGTTTAATCTTTAGGACAATTTATGTAGTGCTGATGTTATTACTCGTGTAATAACTGCATTAGCATCGACTCCTAATCCCTTTGAAATGTAATCATGGGATCTGGAATATTCAGAACTACTCAGAAGTACTCAGTTTGTTTCACCCAAACAGCTGCCAACCCCATAATCAGACCACACATACCAAGGTTTTCAGAAGTATCCCAGCCTCACAGTTCCCACCTATGATATGGCAGAGTGAGGATTGGAGTTGGGGCTTCATTTATTGATAACAAGCAACTTGGAATTTCCCAAGTCTTGACCTTTTTGAGGTCTGCCCAACACCACTGTGTTGCTTTTGAAAATCTTGGCTGTGTCTACATGTCCTGATGTGCTGCAGAAAGCAGAGTGTGTCACTTATTAGGCAGCACTTTTCTAAGCACATCCTTTGAATTTGGCAAACCATGGACATGGCCCAGCCCTGTGGATCTTAACAATGTTGGGGCAAATGCACAACTGAATGGTAAAAACTCTTAGATTGAGGATGTGAAGGTAGAACAGAGCTTTTGCCAGGGCATTACAGACAGGCTGTGATGTTTTGTTTCCAGCTGGATAGCCACAAGAACTCAGGGGTGTTTAACATTCTAGTATTAAACTAGTAGGATATATTTGAGCAAGGCTGATAATAAGGTGCAGGTCATTAATGGCAAAGAAAGTGAGTGAGAACTGCCTGAACATCCCTGGAACACCTATGGAGCATTCACTGCTAGGTAGGTCTTCCCCCTGAACCCTGCTGGTGCTGTCATGCAGGAACAGAGGAAGGATAAAGATTTGCCTGTAGCATCCTGTGCCGTGGAGTAACTGAGGTAGTAATTATGGCAGGTGACCTGAAATTCTCATTCCAAAGCATGAACACAGCACCAGTAAACCTGTAACACCAGAAGGCCGGGATGAGAGTTCTGGTGGGTATGTTTCCTCTCCATTGCTTTCCTCAGGGTGGGCACATCATGATTCTTCTCTTTTATTTTTAATTATTTTATTTATTTTTTTTGGCTGGTCACTTCTCGTTTGCGTACATTCAGGCGCAGAGCAAAGAGATCTGTTGAGCATAGGAGAGTAGTTTGTTACTGTGGAGTGAAGGAGCACAAGTGAGGCTTCACATGAGGCCTGGTGAGGGGTTTTCTCCTTTCTCACCCTGCCCTGGCTTGTCTCTTGCAGTATGCCCTGGAGAGGCTGAAGGTGATGTGTGAGGACGCCCTGTGCAGTAACCTCTCTGTGGAGAATGCAGCTGAGATCCTCATCCTAGCTGACCTACATAGTGCTGATCAACTGAAAACTCAAGCAGTGGACTTCATTAACTAGTGAGTTTCCTTTTGTTCCAGGATGCAACAGATCTAGAGGAAAGTGTTTATTAGCAACAGGGCTCACAGCTTGTGAACTGCCACATGCAGGCAAGATTCTTGTCTGTTAGTTTTCTTTTTTTTGGTTCACCTGTTGTGATCCTTCAATTGTCTGGCATCCCAGAAGTGGCATTGCCCTGAGGGCAGATGACTCTTGTCCTCCAGGGACTCTTCAGAGTCTCTGTGAGCTACTCTGAATCTCTTCCTAAGATCAAGAACTTTTAGGTAGCAGAGTATCAGGTGCTCCCTGATATTGAGGGGCTATTGGCAACCTGTAACAGACCTTTCAGTGGTTGTAAAATGTCTACCAACTGCTTTGATGTCTGGAAACATTTTTAGCCCTATTTGTCAGTTAATACAGTTTTTCTCAATACTTTCTATATTGATTTAAAATACATCTGCTCTGAGGAGTCAGTGTAGATGAGCATTGTGTCCTGTTCTCCACTTGGGAACTTGTTTGAGCTTTTCACCCTGACAGGAGGCTGGAGCCAGGTGCCAGTCAGTCTCTTCTCCCACAGAACAAGTGGTGGGACAAGAGGAAACTGCCTTAAGTTGTGCCAGGGGAGGTTTAGTTTGAACATTAGGAAAAATTTCTTCCCTGAAAAGCCTGTAAAGCTCTGGCTGCCCATGGCCGTGGTGAGTCTGCATCCCCAGAGAGGTTTAAAAACCATGGAGATGTGGTGCTGAAGGCCGTGGTTTAGTGTCAGGTTAATGGTTGGACCTTTTAAAGGTCTTTTCCAGCTGAAATAATTCTATGGTTCTATCATACTCAAGTTGAAGGACTATTTAACATACAGTTGTGCCAGCAGAGCCAAGATCTTGGTGAAATACATCTAACATACACCCTAAAAGAGTACGCTAAAAATATCAGGTTTCTCAGGCGTACGGAAAGAATCTATTTACTTCATCCTTTTCCTCCTCAGTTGATAACTTCAGTTTGATTCTCTCTTGTTTCTAGTCACGCTTCTGACGTCATGGAGACCTCAGGCTGGAAGTCCATGGTAGTGTCACACCCCCATTTGGTGGCCGAGGCGTATCGCTCCTTGGCCTCTGCACAGTGTCCCTTTCTGGGACCCCCACGGAAGCGACTGAAGCAATCCTAAAATCTTCTCACAGCACCCCATGTTTTTCTGGAAGCAGCATCACCTGTTGCTGCCCTAACCTTGACCACCAGGTAGACAGCGAAATCTGTGGAGCTTTTACTCTGTTGTTGGGGGGAAGAGACTGCTTCGTGACACCCAGACTTTTTCAAACAGCACCAAGTAACTTGGGGAGAGGGGGGAGGGTGGGCCTGGGGCTCTGGGGCTGTTCAACCTAACAAATCCCTGTCGCTGCATCGTCTGTGTGTTCCCTTCGACTTGGCTGAGTCCAAAATTAAGTCCAGGGTTGGGTTTAGGCCCCGACCCGAGTCGGGGTAACCCAGGAGTGGTACTGGGGCAAACGACTCTGCGTCTGGCAGCACAGAACAAACCGTCAGATGCCTGGAGCAAAGAGGACATTTTGAGCTTTGGAGAGCCTTGGAGGGTTCAAAAGAATTTCCAGTGAGGTTTGGAAAAAGGAAAAGTACCCGATGGGAGCTCCAGTAGTATTTATATCAAAAAAAAAAAAGAGAATTTTAAATCCTTCCAGCTGAGCTAAAAACTGGACGTTTGTGTAACTCCTTATCGCCATCCAGCAACAAGAAGATCAGTTTCTCTGTTAGTAGCACTTGTATGTTAATTGAAGCAAAAAAAAAAAAAAAAAAAGGAGGAAAAACAACAAAAAAAGAACCCCCCACCTTTTCTGAAATGACAGGTTGAAGTGAAAGGGGCCAGTGAAAGGCTGTGTGTGTTCTGGAGGGTGTGAAGAGGCTGGAGGCAGCCTTTGGCAAGTCTCGGTTGGTTTGGAAAGGAGGAGAAACTCCTTGATGTGGAGAGCGTGCTGTCTGACAAGAGCAACGGTTTACTGTTTTTAGATATTGTGGGAAATGTTTTTTGGCATTTTTCCCTGCTTTATTTCCCTTCCTCCTCCCCCTTTTTTTTTTTTTTTTTTAAGAAAAAAGAAAAAAAAAGATAAAAAAAGTCAAAGAGAAATTTTATTGTCGATGAACGCTGCGTCAAAAGTCCCTGTCCTGAGTTGCTAAATGATTCTTAACAACTGTTTGTACCTGACTTGCTGACTGTGTAGGAGCCAGTCCTGTTCCTTTCTATTAGTCACTCTTCTTACAGGGAGAAGGAGTTTCAAAATAGCTGGTAACGTTTTTGTTTTTGTTTTTGTTTTTTCTTTTGGAAAATATAAATAATTACTATTTTGTACTGTGTGGTATCTGTTGTCTTTTTTTTTTTTCTTTTTGGTTTCATTTGTCTGAAGGCTTTAAAGTCAGCTCCCAGAAGGTTTGGTTTCAAGTCTGCCACGTCCTGACAGTCACATGCTGTTCCTGGAGCTTGGGTGGGATTTATTGAGGAATGTTGCACAGAAAATCATGATACAAACCTGTGATATTTGCTATTTCCCATATAGTGTCAAAACACCAGGGCCTTGCTTTTAACAACAGCTCTGTGAAGCCAACCCCTGGTCCTTCCTTTTATCTGTACCTGTTCAGCCTCGGGGATGGAGAGCAGCCTGAGCCACCCTCTGTTTGGTAACATTTAGGTGCAAGGCAGGATGTCTGAGTAGGATCAACACCATCCATTTCTGTCATCATTAGCCCAAATCTCCGGGGAGGTTAGATTGAAATCCGCCGTGCCAGGGCAGTGCCAAATTGATCTGACCTTAAGCTGGTCAGGTAGGGCATGTAATGGATTACAGGGAATAACTCTGTTTTGTCTAGAAAACAGATGAGGTATCTGCTGGCTCTCATCTCTCATTCCATTCCCATACGTTCTCTCACAGCCTCTCGTCCCCCCTGGGAAGGAGAATTCCGTTTGTAGGCTCGTGCATTTAATCTGGCTGCTGTTTTTATCAGGAGGTGACTCACGAGGGGGTCCCTGCCCCTTTTTGTGTTCCCCCACCGAGGCTCTCGGCGTAACCACACGACTCTCTGTATCCTAGAACCCTCTGGGTGCCTCACAGATCCCCACGGTGCATCCACTGCTTGAACACCTCTAATTCCCTTTCTATTGGATTTAGAGTGCGTTCCCTTTTAGGTGAGCAAAGCATTTAGTCCTAACAAGATTCTCCCCACTTCTCTGTCAGGACTCAAACTCAGCGTTTCTAGCTTTTAATTGCATCCAGGCATGAAAAGTTCATTGCCAGGTAATGGCAGAAGTTGCCTGCGTGGCACAGAGATGTCTAATTACCCTGTGGGGACTGCATTGTTTACTGAAATGCTCAAACCTGAACCAGCCCTTTTCTCCTCCTCGTGTTGGAGGGACCAACTGTTGGAGGAGTGTCCTGGGCTTGGCCTTGCCCTGCCTAGAAGAAAGAAACGGGTGTTGCTGTTGCCTCTCCTTTGATTTTGGGGAGGTGTTTACAGGGAAGCAGCACGGATTTGGCAGCTCGTTCCCTGGAGGATGGGGAGATACCTGCAGGAGAAGAACCTGGGCAGGGGCTTGTCTGTCCCAGGCCTCCCTGCGGAGCCAGGGGCAGCTGCAGGGTCATGGGAGGTCTGAAGTGACATCCGTGAAGGAGGCGACTCCATCAGATTGTTCCAGTTGCAGGTGAATTAATGATTTATTTGTCAACTCGGACTTTTTTTGTTGTTTGTTTTTTTATTGTCAATGATACAGCTGAAGCCATCTGGTTATAACAACATCAGAGCTAGAGCATACTGTTCATAAACCTCCCACTGACACCCTCCCCTCCCCAGATCTGAAATGTAATTCAAGTTCACTCACAATCTGTGGCATGTGTTGTTACTGCAGAGCTGTCCATGCCAGTTGAACAGTTGGAGAGTTGAATTCCACAAGGAGATGGCATATTTATCAAAACAATATCTCAGAGAGACATTTTTCCTGGGTCCTCTGAACTGCCACCACAGGTCCGGATTCAGAATTCAGGTCGGGCTCCTCTCTGCTGCTTTTAATTCCTTCTCTTCCCTCTCCTCAAGGGTGTCACAGAGATGTTTCATCCCTGTGTGCAGTCTTTCATGTGCTTCCTTCTCCCTATTATCCCCTCGCTCCTGCTTCCTCTGCTGGCTTTTGTGCTGACCTCTAAGAGTTGCAGCCTTCAGCTGGGTGTGGGGAGGAGAGGCAGGATCAGAAATCCCTGGGTGAATCCCCTGACCTGCTCCCAAAACCACTCAGCTCTCTCTGAGGAGCCCAACACCAAATCTATTTTTTTTTTTTTTCTTTTTTATTGGCCAAAAGATTTCTTCCTGGCTGCCCCTTGGGCTTTGTTATTACAGACTCAGATTCTATTGAGGTATTTTTCTTATTGTGTGAGTTTTTCCAGATGAAAGGAAACAGCTTGTCTGCTTATGAGCAGAACAAACAGCAGAGTAGGGAGAGCTGCTGTGCTTTGAAACTCTCTCTGGCTTTGTTCTGCTTCTCAAACTGCTGTTAGGGATACAATACCAACTCTCTCCTTCCCTTTTTTTTTTCCCAGCACTTCCTTGAAGGAGCTAAAGACTTTTTTCAGAAGGTTTCTCAACTTCCATGCAATTTATTTTGCAAAAGGCTTTGCTAAAATAATTACCTTATTCACTCAGTTGTTCTTTCTCTCATGGCCACCTTTTAACTTGCATTGCAAAACTACTTCACTCCTTTATTTCTAATGACTTTTTCCTTGGTTAATATGAAAGCATTTAATTATAGAGGGTGTTTTTGGTTTGGTTTGTGTTTTTTTTTTCTGACCTGCTGCCCACTTGGATCTTTGGCTGCAATTCCAGGCACGTGCTGCACCAAATTTTGCCTTGGCAATTCTATTTTTTAATGTGTCTTGGGTTTCAAGTTAACTTTCATACTGCTGGTGGTGGGGGCTACAGCAGGAGGGTGACAGCCTGAGCTGCACAGGAAGACAACAGGCAAAAGAAAATGGGAGACAGCAGGAAAAAATCTTCATTTTCTCCACTAAACAGTTGGAGAAATGAATTGCAGTGACCTGAGAGGCTTTTGGAAGATATATAGGATAAATAAAGCAGGTGTGTTCAGTGTAAGAAGTGGCCTTTGAACCCAACTGAAGTTTGTTGGGCAGAGCACAGGCAAGAAAAACAAGCTGAGTTTTGGGTTATGTTTGGATTTTGCATCTTGCTCCTACTTGGTACATTAGACTTGGTCTGCGAGACTGAATTATTCAAATCACTTGAGGAAGTGTGTTAATTGATGGGGTAAATTGGGAAGGGATGGAGAGAGGGTTGCAATTATTCCATCAAATTATTAAAAAATCACAGGCAGGGGAGGTATAAAATGTAGGGCTACTCTTTAAATAATTGAAAAGCATCGATGGCCAAAAAATAACAGTAGTTAATCGAGATAGTGGATGATAAACAGGGTGGGAACTGGAACATTTCCCTAGCCCAGCAGAAGAGGAATGATGGCCTGTGTTACAGTGGAATATTTTTCTCTCATCGGAATGCAGGGATGATACTTTGAGCTCAGCCATCAGGAAATGGAGCAGGGATTGAAGAGAAAATCATTGACTCTTGCCTCTGGGAAGCAGTGTGGAGGACAAGAACTCTTCAGATGTTTGTAACGAGCTGCTAATGAAGCTTTCTGAGCCCTGGAATGACCAGAGGTTGCACATCTAGGAGTAATGAGATCAAAATGAACAAACAGAAACCATTTCCAGACTGTTGTTTCACTTCTGGAAGGCTCCTGGCAAATGGTCCCTAAGAATCTTGAGCCATTTCAAACCTGCTAGAGAAAGTGCCTCCTCAGATGGGGGTCTGCTGCCAGCACAGGGGGAGGTGGGTGAGCTGCTCCTCAAGATTTCATAACCTGGGGTCCTGAAGAGTGACATCCTCAAGTGGGTGTCCACAAACCTCACTGATGTGGCTCCTGTGATAGCTGGAGAAATTTTCAACTGCTTTTTCTTAATCTTGGTGTGGCACTATGAAGTGTTAACTCTTGAGATTATTGCATCTCAGAGCTGGAGTGGCTCATTTTGTCCTGTTCATGCCTACTTATGGTAGGACTGGAGTTGTTCAGCCTGGAGCAAAGGAGGCTCAGGGGAGACCTTCTGGCTCTGCACAGCTCCTGACAGGAGCCTGGAGCCTGGTCATTGGTCTCTTCTCCCAAGGAACAAGTGATAGGACAAGAGGAGGAGATTTAGCTTGGAGCTGAGGGACAATTTCTTGCCCTGGAGGGTTGCCCAGGGCTGTGCCAGGCTGCCCAGGGCAGTGGTGGAGTCCCCATCCCTGGAGGGGTTCCCAAGCTGTGGAGATGTGGTGTGAGGGACACAGGGCAGTGGGGACCTGGCAGTGCTGGGGGAACAATTGGATTTTATCATCTTTAAGGTCTCTTCCAATGAGAATGATTCTGTGATTCTGTTCCTACAAGGCT